TGTGCAGCTGGAGTAGTGTCTGGAGGTGGAAGCTCCTTGTCGGAAAGGATCAGTTTGAGGCGCATTTCCTTATCTCTGTGAACTCTGGCTGTCAGCTTGGAGCAGTGGGTGCACTTTTGTGGAACATGCGCCTCACCCAGACATCAAATACATGTTGCATGGCCAACCAAGGCCGGCATGGCTTTGCAGCAAAGACTGCACTTTTAAAACCCAGGTGAACCAGGCATTGCAGAGGACGGTTGAAACTCGTGCCCCCTCTTCCTTTTCCCTTTTTTTTTTTTTTTTTTTTTTTTTTTTGTAGCTAAAGACCAAGAAACAGTCTAATGAGTTTTTAACTGGAACAGCAAGGAATACTAACTCACTAACTACTAAATTAACAACTATATCACTATTCTAACTATTCACAGGAGAACTCCGACAGGAAAACAAGGAGAGTTGACGAGCTCCGTCTATGATCAGGGATGGTTGAGAAGAACTGGCAAGAGCCGGACCGCGCGTGACAGGCAAAGGGCGTGAACGGCATGAGGCGCTGACCGCTCATACGTGTTCCGGCTGACTACGCCTATTGAAAGTCTCCAATCTGCAGTGCCGGGATGAGCCCGACACCTACAGTGGAGCACCCACGGGGACACTACTTGAAGAAGAAGCTAGTGCATGGTGAAAAGCATTTGGAGGATGCTGAAGTTTGTTAAGCTCCTACTGACCAGTATGAAGCATCTTCATCTTTCTATGTTAAGGCCAAATTAAAATAATCAGTTCCACAGCCCAGCCTGTTGAAAATCAAGCCATTATAGTTTATATTATTAAACCATTGTATTGTCTTAAACAGTACTACTAATACAGCTGTGTTACTGCCCAGACAATAGCAAGGCAACTCCTCTGGAACATGAAGAGCTGTGTAGAAGAGCTGGTAATACTTGTTGTGGAAAGTGATCTGGTTTTATTCATGAAAAAACATCTAGCTGCTTTACAAAGTTAAATAATATTGTTGCCATTTCCTGACAGGCTTTCTCTTAGCCAGCTTTAGGAAAGGCTCAGAAGCAAAGCACTGTAAGTCAGAGTACAAAGAAATAGCTCAGAGCTAGTTTTCGGCCTATTCCTATTTCACTTGCAGATGTGGTTTCCATGGAGTAATAGGTCCAAAGAACACAGCAAGGAGGACTGCTCCAAGTTACTACTCATTGATCCAGCAAGAAGTGCAAGCGCTTTCTAAACTGTGCCCAGGCAAGTGCACCAAGAGCCAGTCACTTGGCATAAATTGGCACTATGTCACTGAAGCAAATGGAACTGTACCTACTTTCATTAGCAGCAAATTCACCCAGCCACATGCACATGAATGGCATGCCAGATGCAGATTTATTTCTTATATCCACTCCTCTCAGCCATTTCTGGCTTCTGAGCTTTATTTCCATTCACTGTAAAAAAGAGATGACTAACTACAAAATGTGCTGCAGGACCATTTGTTGTTTCTTACGTTTTTACAAAATGCAAAGGGTTTTAAAAAATTCAATCATGCAGAAAACTGAAGAAAAAATTGCACCAACCTATGGGAACCTCAGGGGTTTGTTCAAATAAAAGGAACAAGAGATCATATAAGCAATGCTTAATTAAGGGCTGCCCAAGACTATTAGCATACAGCATTTATTGGTACAGGGCTTAACATTAGAGATGCAGACCACCTGCGGCTCACAATGTTTTCACCTTGAGCAATAATTACTCAGCACCTGTGAAAATCAGGCCTACACTGTATCACAACTCCTACTTACTGCTTAACCTGGGCATGTAAGGCTGTCGTTAGATAAAATACCAAACCAGAAAGGATAAATAAATGAGAAGTTTGTCTTGTTTCATACTTGCTTGATATCTGAGTGCTCTGGGATTTCTAATAATTCAATCTGCTGTTCTTGTGCTTGTAAAATAAAGGACTCTTTAATGTCTTCAGTAGTACAGCAGCTGAGTGGTACAGGAATCACCTATAGATGGTGGACACACAAAGAAAAATACACAAACCATACTTAAATAAGGCAATCAATCCATCACTGGGGGTTGCACACCTCTCAGTACTGCTTGTATCGTGTGAGACACATCAGACTTAAGTGGCAACATATGAGGTAAGTCTGCCTTGTAGGAGCTAGAAGAATAACTGAAATTTAAAAGTTCCTAAAAACTATCCTCCAATATTCTTTGTGGAGAGATTGAAGGCCACTCTGAAATGGTCACAGATCCACCAAGTAAAAAAGCTGCCAATGCACCTTTCCATAATCAGTGTGGCAGAAACTGGTCACCGAGCAGCAACATTTTCAGACACTGGCCAACTATTTGAACATGTTACAGCACACACTATTAACTTTCCTGACGACCTCAGTACTCTGAACAATAACCCAGTACACATGCCAATGACAGATGCTAAAACCAAAACAAGAGAAGAGGCACCTGGTTCACATGAAGCAGAGATGAAACAAAAAATCCATCTTACAGCTTTATGCGCTAGATATAACAGGAAAAATTACACATGTTCAAGTGACCATTTAAATGGTTACAGGGGTTTTACCTTTATCCTGCCTCCCATCTACTGCTCGCAGGATTTTTATTTATAATTTGGGATGTCAAGAAGGACGTGAGTTGTACATAGGTTGAAATGTGAACTGTTTCTTTTCACAGCATCTTAGGTTGTACTTACCCTTCCATTGCTTTTTTATAACCATACCTGCAACTGTAGGTGCTGACTTCTGTAATTTCTTTCAAACAACACACATCTTTTTCCTTTGCTTCTGAAAAACTCCTTCAGGGCAGATTTGTACTTGTCTACTTCTTCCATCACTTCTGAAGAAAGTTCAACCACTGACTGGTAATGCCCAATAGGTAAAATCAGGATATGGTCATTTGATAAACCACCTTTGGCAAGGGCAAGATAGCACTAGAAAAGAACAAGAAGTCAGAAAATACGTAAGCAAACTAATTCAGTCCTTGCCATAATAATTCCTCCATGACTAATTCGTCTTACAATTTTCAAAGTTCAAAAGACAAAAATCAACAAAAATATTCCAGGCTCTACTTCAAGGAGATTCTGTAGCAGGCTGTTAGTTACCAGCTAACTTAGAAAAGTGTAAGGAATGGCAAAAAATGAATTTAGATGAAGGGCAAAGTGCCTCCAGCAAGAAGGCTGCTGAGCTGGGCTTCAGTCAGAGTGGTAAATATATACGATTTCTGGATATGATACAGCCTGAAAAAAATCCATTTGGGGATTTATTATTTTAAATAAACAGTGAATTAAATTTGATCCTATAACAATTCATATTCAGCTCAAAGTTTGGTTTATACTTCACAGCAGCAGCCGTTTCAGGCAAAGGATTATAGCCAACTATCAAAATTTTTTAACCCCCAGGTTGTTCAGGTGTTCTTGCAGAAGACATAATTGCCTCTACCTACCTAGAAAGTTATCTGCAGAAAAACATCACCAAAGACTATAAATTAGAAAGTTTAACCCTCAAGAAATGCATTTAAATTTTCAAGATTTAAGCTAGAATTTTGCTGAGAGCCAGTGGGTTCTACAGGTGAAGAAGGTTCCCATCTCAGGACAGTTTTAGACCAGGTCTGCATTAGAAAAGGTCTGTTAATGTAGCTTGTGGTGAATTGGGATTTTTTGTAGTATGTTTGTGACACCTGTGCGTGCTACAGTTTTCCCCCATACTTTGCTAACCTGTAGAGAAGGAGGGCAGATTAAGTTTGCTTTCAGGGCAGACTAATAGACATAAGTGTGTGTCTGAGCAGAATGAACCCATAACAGTAGAAAATTTGAGAAGGTAATGGAAAATCCAGATGACCAGGTCACAGAAATCTAGCAACCAATGACCCAAAAGGAGAAGAATTTCCCTGCCTCTAAGCAGGGAAGCTGAGCAGAGACACTCAGCTCTAAAACAAAGGATAGGTACAAGGTGAGGAAATAAGTTTAGGCTCTGGTAAAAATTTGAAGTTCTTTTACCTGGGAACTAACTAAGGAAGGGTATGTCCACACTACAGCACTAATTCGAACTAACTTAATTCGAATTAGTTAATTCGAACTAAGCTAATTCGAACTAGTGCATCTAGACCTAAAAACTAGTTCGAATTAGCATTTTGCTAATTTGAACTAGCATGTCCACATTGAGTGGACCCTGAACCGAGGTTAAGGATGGCCGGAAGCAGTGCCGGCAGGGCATCAGATGAGGACTTAGAGCGTGGAGCTGCTGTCTCAGGCTAGCCGAGGGCTGTGCTTAAAGGGACCCAACCCCCACCCCGGACAGACAGTTCTCAGGGGTTCCCCGCTCGCTTGTCTAACTCAATGAGGGACAGCAAAGCAGTCCTGGCTTGGAGGGCCCTGAATGCCCGCACTCGGCACATCACAGCACTCGGCCATCAGCCCGGCTGCACTTGCTGCAGGCAACCATCCGGAGAGGGGGGTCAATCAGGAGACTGCAGGAGAGCTTCCATCCTGAGGAGCCCGCAGAGCCACCCCAGTCCTCCCCATCGGGGGCTCGTACCCCATCCCTCCCTCACCTCCTTCCACTTACCCCTCCCTAGCTCCCCTTCCTGATGTACAAAATAAAGGACACGTGTGTTCAAAAATAGAAACTCTCTTTATTGAACAAAACTCGGGGAGACTGGGAAAAGGAGGTGGCAGAGGGGAAGAGAGAGGGGGGGAGAGGGGAGGAGGAAACCTGGGAGGAGGGAGCTGGAAGGTGGAAGCCAGGGGAAGAAGGAGGAGGGGAAGTATCAAACTATGG